CAAAACTGGTCAAAGCTGTCTTACAAAAACAATATGGCCTTAAACTAAGAAGGGCAGCTTTAGATTAATTGTCAGGAAAGGCTTCCAAGCAGTAAGAAGAATTATGAGAAAGGAACAAATTCAGCTCATTGCTTAGACTCTGTTACTAGAAATGGGTGCACACGAAAAGTGGATAAATCCAAAAATCAAAACCTCTTAACACTGGAATTCGCTTCCTTGCTTTGCCCTGTGTGGCAATTGACCTGTTCTGGCGTTGTGCAGTGGCAGAGGGCCATCCTGGCTCTATTTTGTAGAAGTGGAAAATGTATAGTCATACCTCAGAACTGGATTTCAGAAGGTGGTGCCTAACAGCGTGGCGCTCTGTCTTGTGACATTAGTTGGGTCTCTTACATTGCATTTCAGGATGCCCGACATGCTGCACGGCTGATTTACAGAAAATGAGAAACAGAATTAGTAACCAGTCTTCATCTGTGTATGTCCAGGCCTTTCCAGATGTTCAGCGGTCCAGTCAGCAATACTGCACAGCTCTATGACGTGAGACCGTAAGTCCAGCAATCTCAGGGAGCTGTGGAAAATTTTTGGTCTGCCTGGGTAAAATTTTGGTCAGAGAAAGACACATGTCCGGAAAAAAACAGGTATGTTATAGCCCTATCAGTGAGGAATTAACAACTGATTTGGAGAAAAGCCTGATTAGTAGGCAGTAAATAAGGCTTGATGTGACTATTGAAACAATGAGAGTAAAGCAAAAATGAGTAACTGCTCATTTAATGAGTGTCATCCATCCTGTGCAAGCATTGAGTGCCTGTGGAGAAAATGGGACGCAGTTGTGTGACTGATTGTGTCAAAACACATAGGCGTAAAAGAGACATGTAAAGATAGCAGAGATGCCTTTCGTTTTGGTACTTGCAGAGTTTAATGTTCAATATCAAGCAATAGGAAAACCCCTGCTACAGACCCCATCTATAGGGGAGGGCATTTATTGCCTCTGGTAGCACTGTAGTGAGGTTAAGTGGGAGATGGGCTGAAGGGGGGCAGTTGTTCTGCATTCCCACTGGCGTTGCACACAAGTTTGGAATAGTGCTAAACAAGCTGTCCCCCTTTGCCCACCATTCATGCAATCACTGTATCTGCCTGGGGATATGTTTGTGTGTGTATAATGCTCTAATATTAAAATAGAGACTGTCTTTTGGATCTTGCTCAATTGTGCGTTGCTTTAGTTCTGGGAGAAAAGTTCTTTTCTGACCCCAGATAGGGATCAGCTCAGCTTACGCTCCAAAGAATAGAGATTAATATCCCCTGTGACCTTTTAGCCTAGCTGCTGCAGGGTTTTTAACAAGTGGGCTTAAGACCCCATGTGTGGCAGCTATGCCGACATGAATGTCTGTAACGTCTCTTCTTGTCAATGATCCATGAACTAAGGAATCTCCAAGGATATCTTGACGTGCTGTGGAGCTGTTATGGTCTAGTGCAGGAAAGAACCACGCAATGATAGAATGAAAAGCTGGTGTCACAAGTAATGTGCAAGTTGTTCTAAATGTACCTGACAACAGTTGTCCCTGGCTGTGTATTTACTTATAGGATGTGGCTGTGGTAGGAAAAAACAATATTTAAACAAAACCCCAAACAACAAAAGCACTATTTATGACTTCTGTATTTCTGGTTCCTTGGATGTTTGCGATGTTGTATGAACTCTATAATATAATGTAGAACAGATAATAAAAAATAAGTACATAACATGAAAAAGCTCCCACCTAGTTCTAGCTACCTCTTCCTCCCCACCCCTGGCATTGAAGAGTGGGGTTGTCCAGAAAACAATCCAGGAAGGAATTCCTTCCTAAAAATATTTTTTCCTTAATTTTGGACATACTTGTTTTGACTTGCTTTGGCTATTCTCAACTAACGTTGCCATTGCTGGTGCGTGTAAAAGGTTTGTAGTTTGTTGAAACCATTTTTAGCCATTAGTTTAAAATAGCCAGTCTTTTTGCACTAGGACCTCAAAGAACTGCCTGGGGGTCAGGGGGAGCACTGATTTAGGACTGAGGTCTACAGTTGCTGTCTCAAACATGTCTCAGGCATATGGGTGATGTTATATTCACCTTCTCAAGCTATATTACCTGCTTTGGTGTCTAGGGTAGGTGATAAGTAAAAATTGAAGTGTCTGAATCCAAGAGAAAGATCCAGAGGCTTTTGTCAGCCTAGTTCTGGAGGCATCAACCACTCGGTAGGCACATATGTGTACATCCACCAACCTCCCTGTATGCTCCAAGTTTCAGTGCTCATCGATGTTTAGAAGCTCTCCAGCATGACGCACTGGGCATCAAGCTCTTGCTTAAGCTTCAGTGTCACCAGCATGAGGCCAGAAGCCCCCAAACTCTTGGCTGCTGGAGGAAATGGGAGACTCATTTGGTTTCCCCCTGCAGTTTTAAGCCCATGTAAATTTTTCTGCCTTCCGCTTCCCAGCTCCCTGCAACTAACCACTCTTCTGAAGTGAGCATGTGTTTGTGTGGCTGCTGTGCCTTGCCTCCTGCCCATGGATTGGCCCAGTTTCCACCGGAGATGAGGAGGTTGTCTCCTCCATTGAGCGGGGTACTCTTCTGGGATTAAGGGGAGCTGGATGTGAGTGTCAGCCCTCTTAAGGCAAAAGGGAGTTAAACACGCCTGCAGGGTGGGAACTAGCTGTAATAAACAGATACAAGTGGTTGCTAAAGTAAGTACGTGTTCTGTTTAATGGATTTCTAGGAATTGAATGCAGTAGTTCCTTAGAAATGTTTTATTTACTCTTTTTTGCTGCATGTGGGGAAAACCTCCAGAGATTTGAGGACCGTTTTCCTTATGGGGACAAGCTGGTTGTGTAGCAGATCCTAACCTGGAAGCGTTTGGGTACAAGGCAATGGATTCTGCCCCAGGTGGTGTTTTGTTCATTTATAAGTTGACTCGTCAGATCTGAATGGGTTGTAACTTATATTCAGTTCCTATCTTTTTATCCATTTCCAGTGCAATGCAAGTGACGTCACTTTTTCCTATCAGTGATCATCTTCTGTATTTTAATGTTAAATGGTCTTAATTGCCACAGAGCTAGAGCTCTCCAGTGATGTATCCTGCCCTTCCTCACCACCAAGAGAAAACAAAATTAGGGTTGTCGCCCTTTCCACCTTAGTTCTGCTCCTGCCCAGAAGTTTATAACAACCCATGGGAATGATCTGCAAGCTGAAATGTGCGGCACAGCACAAGGACAAGTAACCCTCAATGCGTCTTGCTGCACTCGGTGGAGTGTCAGCCATGGGGTAGCAGTGTGTTCTTGCCATCAAAGTCTTCAGCCATGTGGAAGCTGTGTGGCCTGTGGGTTTAAGTGAGGGTAGCAGGTTTCCGTGGCTTAGTTGCAGGGAGCAGGAGTGAAAAGGTGGTAGAGCAAACCTGGTATGCAGCTGCAGGCAGCAGTAAGGACCATCAGTTTGGCACCATTGAGAGGCAGAGCGTGTGTTTGCTATAGGCAGCGTTCAGGGAGGGCAAAACGAAGGTCATGTGGGTATATGTTTAACTTATTGTCAGAGGTTTGAATTTTGCTAAGCAGGAGGGAATACAAAGGCATAAGATACATCCTCCTTAATACCATCTTGATCTTGTCTTGTCTGTTCTATAAAAACTGCTAACATTTTTATAACCCACTAGGATGTAAAAGGTTGTTTCTCCCTGTTCTGGCTTCCCTCTACTACCACCTGCTTCTACTGCATGCACCCCCGTATCACGGGCTGTCTTCAGCTGTGCAGCCTGAACTGTGTGCTGCGCCAGTGCTCTCTGCCCATCTGGCTGTATCCCTCCTGCCCTGTTTCTTCTCCACCACCTTGGTCTTGCCAAACCCTCGATGCAGCTAGTGGATGACCGTCCCAAGCCGGCTTCCTCCCCCTTGGTCAATGCAACTCTCTGCATTGCGTAGCTATAAATCGTAATTTTTTATTTTTGATTTCCAGAAGTTTATATCTGGGTGACTGTCAGGGACCCCACCTGTCCTGAGTCCCCTAATTGAGGACAAGGGAAAGGAACTGATGCTCTTTTTGTGTGGTAAGGACCTAGTCATGTGGGATTCAGATAAAGGGGTAGGCACTGCTTCGATCTTGAACCTTAAATACAAACCTAGCTGTATAACTTGGCGTACTTTTGAATGTGTGGTTTGATATTGCTTTCTTGAATGGTTACTGGGAAAAGTTGGACTATGGGTTTGCCTTAAAGTCATGCTGTGATTTACTACTTTTATAAAAAAGTTAGTATAATCTGTAAATCTTAAATTGTTTTGGGGACTAGGGGAAGGTTGTGCTTTGGGAATCACTGTTTTAAGAAATCTTAAATTTGGATTGCTAACTCTGCCATAAATCCCAAAGTGACATGTTAAATTTAATGAAAAAATCCAAGTCAGCATGTGGATGTTGGAGTACTTTGAAAGAATATTTAAATAGAATGAGGTTCTCAGCTTCATCTATAGTAGAGCTGTCATTCAACCATATCGTAATCTCATTAGGGTGAGGGCTCTTGAAAGTACTAAGTGCAGACTTCCCTGATGCTGGTTAGCATGTTTAGGTACGTGTGTAATACAACAGTATAAAAAGCAATTTATATTGTGTGTTTTGTGATTCACGGGCTGATGGCTGCTAATATATTGTGGTGATCTACAAATTAAAGTTTGGCTTGTTAGGTTCAGTGTGGGCAGGGCATTTAATTTTCTTGCATTAATTTAACAGGATTGGGGCCAAAGGCAGCAAAGAAGTTGTGTTTTTTATCACTATAAAAGAGTTACGATTCATGATCTCAAACCTTAGGCTAGTAAAGAGATACTCCAGAGCTAAATGGTTGAAAAAGACAGGGACTGGATGGGAACGGGGGGCGGAAAGACACAATTCAGCTATGAGAGAAAAAATAAAACTAAAGTGTCACAGTCTGAATTATTCTACAACATGTAAAATTCATTTTTCTGATTATTATGTTCTCTTTTAGATTTCTGAGTGAAGATGAATTTAGCAGAGATTTGCGATAATGCCAAAAAGGGAAGAGAATATGCACTCCTTGGGAATTATGACTCTTCTATGGTATATTACCAGGGTGTCATCCAGCAAATCCAGAGACATTGCCAGTCGGTCAGAGATCCAGCAATTAAGGGCAAATGGCAACAGGTAGGGTGAAATAAGGTTGCCTTTATACTATTACTTGATATTTGAAAAACACACTATACTTCCCAAACCTTTTAAGATGTAGAGGACGTATATTTCAGTTAAATTTACAACATTTCTTTTACAGTATTTTGTTGATATTTATGGGGAAATAATTTTTGTGGCATGTTCAGAAGGAATTCTTCTGTTCTAATTGAATAAATTTTTTTGTTGTTTTCACTTAGGATGTCTGGCTAATCACTGGTCTATTTGTGTGTGATTGCATACTTTGGAAAAACTGTTTTGCTGAGGACTTCCTTCTGCTGTTTTATCTTTTGACCATCTAATGTCCAGTAAACTAAGATGTGAATGGATGGGTTAGCATCACTAGAATGGTTGTCTGAGTAGCAGTTAACTATAACTCTACAATGTGCAAATTTGGATCAGGTTTCTAAAACTCCAAGTAATGCTTTTAGCCTGAGTCTTGCACACATGCATCTCCCTGCTAAGCACAGTACTGCTGAAGCCAAGGAAGTAATCCGCAGGTGAAATGTAAGTACCCTCATTTAGCACTTTCAGTATTTAAGTTTTCCTTACATTTTAGAATCATAGAATAGTTTGGGTTGGAAGGGACTTCTAAAGGTCATCTAGTCCAACCCCCCTGC